TGTGTGGACGGGAGCAGGGTTAATTCGATTTAACGCTGCTAAATTGGAATTAAACTCATAGTGTAGACCAGGCCTTGGAGGTTCCCTGGGCTCATACATGCCCCACCAACAGCCACTCAGAGTTACAATCCCACTGTATGTTCCAATGAGTGCACAGCACTGCGGGGGAAGACAGTTGGGTGTGCATGGTGATGAACAGGCTGCACCAACTAAAGGATGAACACTCTGCTATTTGGGAAGGGATTGTGCCTCCCTACCCACATGCTCTCAAGGCAGTTTGCACCATCTAGCCCTTAAGCCTTTAACCATAAAAAAAAGTTGGAAACATTCAGAGGCAGATGCACTTTGCTTTGTAGAGACAGACACTAAGCGGGAGTCTGTAACACATACCACAGCCTCTGCAGTATTGCTGCATATTAATTTGCAAACTTGACACCATCAAATTAGGCCTAAATAAAGACTGGGAGTGGCTGGGTCACTACAAAAAATAATTTCCCCTCTGTTGATACTCACACCTTCTTGTCAACTGCTGGGAATGGGCCACATCCACTTTGATTGAATTGGCCTCGTTAGCACTGGCCCCCTACTTGGTAAGGCAACTCCCATCTTTTCATGTGCTGTATATTTATACCTGCTTACTGTATTTTCCACTCTGTGCATCTGATGAAGTGGGTTATACCCCACGAAAGCTTATGCCCAAAAAATTTGTTAGTCTCTAAGGTGCCACAAGGACTCCTCATTGTTTTTACTGATACAGACTACCACGACTACCACTCTGAAATATATTTTCCGTTTTCGTCTTAGGACTGCAGCCTGGTGGTTTTGCTGGACTCAGATAAAATCTTTGAGCCCTGCCTGTTCTTCTTAAGAAGTGCAAAATGGCTGTTAGCCTACCAGAAACTACTAGCAAATAGATGTGTGTCTGTCATATAATCTTCCACTTGTATTCTATGTGCATAATTTACACTTGGAAAAAGGATTTGGCATGACCTGGGGGTGAAACTCTAGTTTGGCACTTAAAATGGCATGTTTTTCATATTCCCCAAACCCATTTATGCAAGTTCTTAAACCTCAGGTATGCATCTCAAGGGTACAGAAGGTCAGAAAAGTTAGTCAGAGTTGGCCTAAGAAGAGATGTTCCTGGCTCAGGTCACATATAAAAAGAAAAAAATAATAATATCTAAAAATTCAGGTGTGGAAAATACTTATTAAGACAGAAGTACAGCTTTGGTGTGTGTGTGTGTGTGTGTGTGTGTGTGTGTGTGTGTGTGTGTGTGTGTGTGTGTGTGTGTGTGTGTGTGTGTGTGTGTGTG